CCAAAACCCCAAAACCCCAAAACCCCAAAACCCCAAAACCCCAAAACCCCTCAAGACAAGAATTGTATAAAGTTAGCAATTTAATTAATTATTAGCTGGAGTACAGAAGAACAAAACAATATATATTCGCTTCGCTTTGCTACTAATATTTCACTTGATATTGTCTGAGGGGAAATCCTCTGGGGCAGGTCTGTACACACCTGAAACGACGATGTGATCACGTTCATATGGTTCAAGAGAGATTCTCTCGACTGGTCTGAATTTCTCTTCCTTTAGTCTTTCGATTTCCTGAGCGTAGACTATCTCTGGAGCCTTGGTTGAGTCAACACAACTGGCCTTGATAGAAATAACGAAGTGACCTCTATTCTTAACGAACATAGCAGCGTTGAGTCCTAAGATTCTAGCTTGATCTGGCTGGGCGACATCAGCGAAGATGACGTCGACCATTGGAACGAGCATTCTGTATTTCTGAGGGTGACGAGCATCTTCAATGATGGGAATGACATTGGTTCTCTTCTTGGCCATGTTAACAAGATCTCTTCCACTTCTCTTAGAGAATTCAACTGCGTATACAGCTCCCTCTGGTCCAACTAGATCAGCAACGTGAGATACAGTAGTACCTGAGGCTGCTCCCAAATAGAGCACCTTGCTGCCTGGTTTCATGTAGATATTTTCGATACCTCCAACGATGGCTGAAGCCAACTTGGATCTGAATGGGTTCCATACTCTATACTCGACCTTTTCTCCAGATTCCTTGTTGTCAACTGAAACTCTCTTCTCGTTGTAGACGCTCTCGCCTGGCACTAGATTCTTGGAAAGTAGGGCGTCATCTTTTCCTCTCAAGATGAACACTCCTCCGAATCTCTCATGGGGTTCAACAATGACTCTAGCTCCACCTCCGAGACCTGGTCTGCCTCCCTTGAAGCCATTACCACCTCTGCCTCCTCTGAAGCCACCGCGACCACCTCTATCGCCGCCTCCACGGCCTCCTCTGAAACCGCCTCTGTCACCGCCTCCACGGCCACCTCTGAAACCACCTCTGTCTCCTCCTCTGCCTCCTCTGAAGCCACCTCTATCGCCACCGCGACCTCCAAATCCTCTCATATTTAACTCTAGGTATATATTTAATAAACAATTTATATATTTACCATCAATTTATAAGTAAATTTCCCAAATATAAATTTTAATATCTATTCATATCAATTGCAGTAATACTATTTCACTGCTTCTACTAAAGATTATTAGAGATTATTTTCATAAAATTTTGTCTATCAGAAGTAAGAGCTAAAAGGTTCAATAATGAATTAGATATTGTAGTTTGGTAACACAAAAGATATATTCATATGCATTGTTTAACTTTCTCAATATCTTTTATTTCACCTTACGGGGTTTTGGGGTTTTGGGGAGATCGGAAGAGCGTCGTGTAGGGA